CGGGCATGTGTTAGGTTTGGAATTCACTGCACCAGGATTCCCCCACATGGTCCTGAATCATTCCCAGCACAGCGCATCCTGATTTGGGGGGTGTTGCTGGGGACTGAACCCAGGCCTCCGGGTGTGGCCTCTACTGTGCTGCTCTACTGATCCACTCACCCTGTGAGCAGCTGAGCCCCACCCAGCAGGGACTGGTGTCCACGGCGCTCACTGCTCCAATCTCATCCTCTAGGAGAAATTGCAAAATATTTGTTGAGTGAGTGAATGGCTGCCCTGACCAGTGACATTTTCCACTCGGTGGCGGCCCGGAGGTCTTTCTGCACCAGTGTGCGCTCACCAACATCCGGGTATTTCTTCATGACAGCTGCGGCCTCACCCATGAGCTACCCCATGGTGATGTTAATACTAACTGACCCTGTGTGTGTGTGTGTGTGTGTGTGTGTGTGTGTGTGTGTGTGTGGCTCAAGTCCGCCCTTGAACTTGCGCTCCTGGGCCTCAGTCTCGGGTCTAGCTGGGATTGCGGGCTGGGCCACTGCACCTGGCAAACTCACTTTTACAGAGCACCTACTTTGTCCCTGGCCCTGTACATTTTCTCATTGAATCCCAACAGCTCGGCCTAAATGATGGTTATTCCCATTGTTTCCCATTGGCTCGGGTCTGCCGGATCCAGCCACCACACTGCCCGGTGGCCTCAGTGGGAGGGGGAGGGGAGCAGGGTTGGTGGTAAGGTCCCCAGCGTTTTCTCTCTCACATGACATTGGTAATCTTGGCTTAGACACCAGACTTGTCCCCAATCTTAAATGCCTAGAAATCAGATCCCTGTCCACACTGGACAGGATATGAATTATCCACCCTTCCTTTCCGGATACTAAGCGGTTAACTGACAGCGTGGGAAGTAGGTCCCCGACACACAGGGCCAGCAGCAGCACTGTGGTGGCAGCCTGGCCACTTAACTGCCCCCTCCACCCCAGTTCAATCTACCAAACATCTGAAAGTTGTTTGGAGGGGGGAGAAGCCCAGCCGGCAGGCCACATCTCTGAGGCCTTCATTCATCAGAATCCCTGGGGAAAGTTCCAGAGATCTACCTCCCCAAGACACTATGAGGCTGAGGGTGGGTGGCTGGGCAGCCACAGGCAGGGACTGAGCATCCCGAGGAGCTGGGGCAGCTGGAACTAGGCGCAGGCGGATTGGAGGTGAGCTCCTCCTTTCTGAGCAGCATAGAGGCCCCTTTAGAGAGGAGAGGAGCCGTGACATTAAAACTCCTGCCTGGGAGCTTCGCTTACACAGCTGACCTCCCCTGGAGCCGCCTCACCTTCACGGCCAGGTGCCTCCTCAGCATCTTAGAGTCTGTCTTCTGAGCTGCAGGGCCACCCCCAGCTGTGGGACTGTTATTATCAACCCATTTCGTGGACGAGGAAACTGAGGCACGCAGAGTGGGTGAATAACCCAGGCAGTGCCCGCCACCCCCTCCCCCGCTGGTCTGCCTGGGTTTTCATTTTTCAAAATTGGTTTTATTGAAGCATCTGATACAATGTAGCCTTTTAATATTCAATCTGTTTTGGAGTCCCTGTCACCACAGTCGACATATAGAACACTTCCACCGTCCCCCGAATATCCCTCCCGCCTACGGCAAGCCCTAGCAACCACGATCTCACTCCTCTCCTGTTGCATTTTGTCTACAGTTTTTCATAAGGAATCCATGGGCCTGGCTTCTCTCACTGCGCACTGCGACCCTGAGATCCCGGGTGCTAAGTTTCACCCCTTTATGTCGCGATATCCTGTTTTGCAGTTTGGTGATCCATTTCCTTCCTGCAGGCCATCGGGGTTGTGTCCAGCCTGGGCTTCTTGGGCTGCTGTGGATATTCCAGAGCCTAAGCTCCCAGGGCAAGGGGCACAAGCTCTAGAGCAAGAACCCTGTGGCATGAGGAATATTAAGACCATTTTATGGATGAAGAAACTGAGGCCCAAAAAGGTGAAGCCTCCCCCTCCCCCCAGCCACACAGGTAGTTGGTGGCGGAGCCAAGATTTAAACCCAGGTCTGTGCATTCCAGGGCCTCCATCCAATGCCCTTTCTGTCTGGGCCACAGATTGGTTAACAGTCCCCAAAAGCATTACCTGGGCATACTTGCCTGCTTGGCTCTTGGCATCCAGGGTCCAAAACAGCCTTCTGCAGGCACAGAGAGAACAGATGCCTCTCCTGAGGGATGCTTATCAGTTTAGGAAACTGAGCTGGAAGAGCAGGCTAAGGTCTTTGTGGATGCAACACACATTTGTCCCTGGTCCAGGATCCCAGGGGCCAGCGCTTCACAGCTTCCTCCCTTCCTCCCACACACACACAGTACGTTTTTTGCTATTGATTGTTTTTTTTTGTTGTTGTTGTTGTTGTTGTACTGGGGATGGAACCCAGCAGCACTTTTCTACTGAGCTCCATCCTCAGCCGTTTTTATTTTTTGAGACAGGGTCATACCAAGTAGCTGAGGACCTCACTAAGTTGCTGAGGCTGGCCTCAAACCTGCAATTCTCAGCCTCCCAAGGTGCAGGGATTACAGGTGCGTGCCGTAACCCCCAGCCTGGCTACACAGCTGCACATTTACCCACATCTCTAAACCTGCAGAAATAGGTGGCTGCTGTCCCATTTTACAGATAAGATAACTGAGGCCCAGGAAGGTTAAATGCCTTGCCCAGGCTCTCACCCTGGTTCATAATCCAATTCCTTGTCTGCTCTTCTGAAATCCGAAGGACTCTGAACACCGAGAGCTCAGCATGAGTAAAGGGACATTGGAAGCCAGCCTTGGTGGCAATGCCTGTGGTCCTAGCTACTCAGGAGGGTGAGGCAACCTGTGCAACACAGTGAGACCCCAGCTGAAAAACAGGAAGAAGGAAGGAAAGAAGGAAGGGTGGATGGATGGGGAGGGAAAGAAAAAATCTAGACCTAGGCAAATATAAGAACACTTACAGTCTTCTTTGGTATCAATATACTACTTTTTCCTACAAAATTATTGTGATTATGGGGCCTGCCCGACTCCCTGGGGAGTAGACCCACAATCTTAGTTGTAGTCACCATCTCATTGTTCTAGAATGCAAAGCTTCCTGGGCTGGCTGGGGGTGCAGCCCAGTGGCCGAGCGCTTGCTTACGTGCAAATTCCCGGGCATCCCCAGCATTGCAAAAAATCATTATAAAATTCAAAGCTGCAACAATCCTGAACTACAGCTGCAGGAGGGCTCGGTCTAGGGACTGTGGACCAGCAGCACAGCACCTTGCAGATGAAGGAAAACAGATTCCCCTCTAACACAGAGGACTAATGAGTTAAGGAGGTTAGGAGGCAGAGCACTCCCTGTGCCTTTTCTCTGTCCGCCTAAAGGCAGGACATAAATCCTCCTCCACTGGACACAGCTTTCATCCTCTCAGAGCCAGGCACCAGAGAAATCTGAAAACAAACACAATCCTCCCGTTTATTTGCATTCCACCAGCTTCCGCTTTTAAGCTGATGCTTTGTCTTGTCCGGTGCTCGATGGATTGTTCCGGGGCTGGAGGTCAGGGGTCGCCCTGCCCAGCACACAGGGGGCCCTGGTTCTATCCCTCATGCTGCAAAAACAGACACCAAACACGCAAACAAAACCCCACAGATTGACTCTTTGTCTAAAAGGTGTGAGAGTGTCTGGCTTTGTCACTGTCCTCTCTCCTGCTCCTTTGTGCAGTGACTTGGAGCCCAAGGGCCCTGTGCTGCTTTTATTCCTGATATATATCAGCCACTGGGAAATGGCCTCAGGTCCTGGGAAGCTCAAGGCATAGAAGAAACCTACACATTTTGGTCCTCTTGGCTCTCATGATTGGATAACATCCCTTTTAAAATAACACAGTCCTGAAAACCTTCAGACAATTCATGGAAGAGATTTTTTAAAAGAATTTTTTTTTTTTAGCAGCCAGATAATTTTTCCAAATTGAACCTTATATAGACCCCCCCTCAACTCCCCAAAACATTAAAGAGCAGACTGGTTTCAGTAGCATACATTTATTTTGTCAATTCTTATTTGTACAATAGAACATCAACCACAAAAAGCGATGAAGGGTTTCAGCTAAATCCACCTTTGAAATCGGGACTTTACACAGGCCAGCTGCGGCCTGTCCAATCTACTTGGGAATTCCTGCTTGGAATCTGCTGTGCTAGTGAGGCCTTGACTCAGGTACGTAACTCAAGGTGGTTGACGGTTTTTGATCTAACGGTGTGCATTGCAACCCCGTCAGACTCTCCAATGGGTCCAGAAAAGTCTCAGAAAGGAAGTGATTTTGATGCATCAAAACCAACACACACTCAGGTTGTGAATCACAAATACAAAAGCTAGATGGGAGACACCCAAACCCATGAGAAGCACAAACACTGTCTCAGGACTGCAAAATGATGATAAGAAATGTCACATTGTCCTAAACAACAGTTGTGCCCTGAAGGGAGCACGGTCTGCATGCAACAAACATGCTGGGACCTGTGTGGCCTTTATCCAAGTTCAGACTGTGAGGGAACAAGAAGCAGAGTGGTAGAACGTCCTGCGAGTGGATGTGCCCTGGGCGGGAATTTACAGGAGATGAAAAGATCAGTACGGAGCTACAGACTTCTTGACCATGGATGGGCAGAAGTTCAAATATATATGTGAGGATGGCAGGAAAAGCTTTATCCCACCGTTGTGCACACACACACACACACACACACACACACACACACACAAAGACGCTGAGGTCAATTCTTGGGAAATGGGCAGCAATCAGAGTCTTCAAGGTTGGGGTTTGGTTACATCAACCAAGTAAATTCTAAAAATTCCTTAGGTTTCTTGAAGCTTGCTGGGAACCAGGGGGACCTAACAGGACCTGAGGGGTCTGGCTGTTAGGGTGAGGTTGGAGACAGAGAGCCTTCACCTTTTGGCTCTGCTCAGGGGTTGTTGGGGACAGCTTTCCAAAAAATGAGAAAGGGGAATGGATGCTGGAGTCCCACCCAGGACTGATGCCCACCCCCCTAAGACACTGTGGGCCTCCAGTGGATAAGAATCTAAGCATGAGTGTGTGTGTGTGTGTGTGTGTGTGTGTGTAAATCACATTTTTGAAAATAAAGTCATTCAAACTTTTGCAGATCCCTGAACCGATGGAGGTTTGCAAATTCAGTCTGGGGTCCCTGAAGGAGAGAGGACTGGACACTCACAATTGCATTTTATCTGATTCCTTTTCTCCTTCATCACCACCCAGGGTACTCAGCTCACGGGATTGGGGACTCGGTGTTTCTTAATGACTCTTCAAAGTGGACTCTTACTTAGTTTTTCTTCTCTTTTACCGGAAGTCTTGCCTTTCCTTCTTTAGAGAGTGGAGCGACCGCCCGCCCCCGCCCGGGAGGACTTCTGGGACTTAACGTGGGGAGACCCACTCTTCATCCCAGGGCCAATGAGGGCAGAAGCGCCCAGTCTCACCACTTCTGCAAGGGAGACAACGTGAACAGCGACAGTTTTTGAGAGTCATGCACAGTTCCTCAGTGGTGGTGAGCAGGGAGCCCGCTCACCAAGATGGCCCCCTCGGGACAAGTTCGTGCCAGAGGTACATTCAAGGGTCATCCCTTTGAAAGACAGAAAACCGCTCTAGACTTTGCAAGGGCGGGATTTCCAGAAGAATGCAAAGATAGGGAGTCTAGGTCCCTTGTCCCTCACCAGCGGGCCGTGCGCAACACCTGGCCCCTGATGATGGCGGAGCAGGGGTCACCTTGACAGTCTTCCAGGCTGTACTTGGATTTTTCTCAAGTCTGGCAAAAGACCTTCTGCAAACCTTGAAATCCAGAACACTGTGTGTCCCCTCCATTTCCTGCAAACCCCAGCAGGAGCCTGGGGGCAGCTACGGTCTCCATGGCAACTGTCGGGACGCACGGCTTCTCTGTGGCTCCGACTGCGACTGCGCGGCTGGTCCTGCGCTGTCCCCGCGTAGTGAGAAGTGGTTTACCGGTCTTTATGACCCCTCCTCACTCACAAGTTACCCTCACTCACTCAAACCCACGCACACACTCAGGTGACTCTCAAATGTCACCCATAGGTTTTCAAGTGACTACCCACCGGAACTCAGCACAATCATGCGCAGATGCCGCCATAAGCTGAGCGCCCTGCTCAATCCGTGTATTCAGGTGACTCAGATGCCCTCCGCATCGACTCACATTGGGTATGAGAGCCACGAGGGCAAGGTTTAGGTCTGAATTGTTTCCCCAGTGCCTAGCACACCGCAGATGCTCAGGAAATACTTGTTGGTTAAAGGAAATAATGAATGAATGGGCCGATGAGTGAAGTATCCAGACTCAACCAGATGTGAGCACGGAGCCCACCTACAGCTACTCAGACCACCTCCCTCCCTCCATGTGTCCAAGTGATACGATCATTAAGGTCTTTACCCACTGACGAGTGAGTGTCCTGAAGGCAGGGATTATTATTATTTTTTAATGCTCTTCTGTACCCCCAGCTCTTAAGGACAAAGCTAGGACACGGCAGGTCCATAAATATCTGCAGAGCGAATGAAGGAAGGAAGGACCCACATTCAACCAGATGTTAGCCACGCCCACTCGGCTGGAACCCAAAGTTAGATGAAAACCCCTAGTTCATCCACACTAGTGGGATGTCACCTCTGACACTCGTTCTTACTCAGAAGTCACCCACTCATTGGAACCACCACCGTCCCTTGGCGCAGGCTACCCCCCTCACTACACCCCCAAGGTTCCTCAGCTCTGCCCGCCCTCCCCCGTCACCCCCACAACCACTCAGAACTTTCCCACGCTGCTCCACGTGCCCCGCCCCCCGACGCCAGCTCACAGCTTCTTGTCGGAGGCGTGGCGCCGTCGACGGTTCTTCTTGTGCTTCCTCTTGCTCCTCTTGCCCTCTCCAGCCTTGCTCTCCTTCTCCAGGGAGCTCGGAGGTGGCACCGCATCCACCCTGGCAGTGGCCCCGGCCTCCGGGTGCTCCCCAGGCACAGGCAGGCAGCACTTCACGGCGGGCAGCTCTCTGGGACCTGTCGCTGTCGGGCACAGTTCCTGTCTCAGGACTCGGGCCACATCTTCCACCGTTCGGCCCTCGCTCTGCAGGAACAGGTTCAGCTTGGTCAGGAATTCGACGTCCTGCTTCCGGGGCATGTAGACCACTCTCCACATCCCGCCCTTGCCCTTGATCTCCCTGGGGACCGCGGCGTAGTTGAGCTCCTCCGCCAGTCTAATGATGGCTGCCTTGGTCCTGTCTTCCTCCAGAAAGGCTTTCCCAGCCACTTCGAATTTGCCCAGAGGCTTGAGAGGGACCCGTATGATCTCCTCAAACTCCTCGTGGTTGCAGTCCTCCGGAATCCCCAGGATCATCAGGGACTTGTAACTGTCCACCTCCAAGGCCTTGCACCCGTGCTCCAGCAGTGCGATGTCCTTGACACCAAACAGCATCTTGCCCAACTCCTTGAGGCAGCTGTATGCCCGCTGGTGCGCGCTGGAGCTGCCTCGGGAATCCAAAAACTGATCCAGGGTGCCCCGATCGCTTTCCCAAGCCTACCTGGGAATGGGGCCTCACCGGCGGAGGCTGGAGACAGACCCAGCTGGATGCTCAGGCAGGGCGTCCCGGCCCCTGCGAGCAGGGCTGCACGACGTAGCCCTCGGAGAGGGGACTCACGCGTGCCAGGCCAGCCGAGGTGGGTGTTTGCCAGCCGATTCGTGGCTCCCGGGTCCCGCGCAAGGCCGCACGAGGGAGGGTCTGAAGATGCCTCTTTATTGGTGGTGGCCTCCGAAGGTCCCCCAGGCCCTGACAGTCTCAGCAGATTTGTGACGGCTGATCTCCCTGGGGCTGCTGCCACCAGCGCGTCCTGGGTGCGGGTCTGGCAGGCAGGGTGACTGGTCCCCTACCGCTGGCCCAGAGGTTGCCCTTAGTGCCCTGGGGCGGGGCCAGGACCAGGACGCGGCCGCTGCACTTGCTCCTGCAGTGACGTCACCGCCTTCTTCCGTTCTGCGGCCCGGAGATCTCCATGGCAACCGCTAGAGCATCGCCTCTGCCATTGGCGGGCCCCGTCGCATTGAAATCAGAGTCCGAGGGGGTCATTCGGAGGTGAGGGGTCAGCTACCCAATTTCAAAAATCCCCACTCTTTGGGAAAATGGCTGATTCCGGAGGGCTGGGGTGGGGATGGGGCACAAGGAAGAGACAAGATGAACCTGGAATATCTTTTGGGGACACAAATTTGGAAAATGTATAAAGACAGATGAGAACACCTGGAAGGACTCAGGAGGCAGCTTAAAGGACCCCCACTGGCCAGTTCAGTTGACTTGAGCATCAAGTTAGAAATAAGAGTAACAGATTATAACCCCTCCGCGCAGATATAAATGAATGGGAAGTTTGTTGAGGAATGTGTGCAGTTATAAGACCTTGTCCTTGAACTACTTTTTAAAATCTGATTCATTTATTTCATGATCATGCATTTCTCGGAAAACTTACTGGTGAAATGTGAAATGTTACAAAGCAATCGGGAGATTACAAAGTACAGAAGAATAAACCCTTTTTATCCTTCCACAACTTTGCTCTTTATTTCAACGTCACACATCACAGTCTGCGCAGGCACGTGCCCTTGCACGCACTCACTGGATTCCTTTCCTGCAGAAAGATAAAGCCGGAAGGCAGAGAGAGAGAGAGAGAGAGAGAGAGAGAGAGAGAGAGAGAGAGAGAACATCAAGTATGTATCGTTGCCACTTGATGATGCTGGCTTCTAATTTAATCTCCTGCCCCTATAATACTTATTTATCAAAGGAACAAGCACGTTTTACAATGGAATGTCCCTTAATTTTTCTTTTTTTTTTAAGAGAGAGAATTTTTAAAATATTTTTTAGTTTTTGGTGGACACAATATCTTTTATTTTTTTTATGTGGTGCTGAGGATCGAACCCAGTGCCCCCCATGCCAGGCCAGCGCACTACCGCTTGAGCCACATCCCCAGCCCTTTTGTTCTCTTTTCTCTTTCAAACAGGCCTTGCCTAGTGGCTTAGGGGCCTCACTAAACTGTTGAGGCTGGCTGAGAACTCCTGATCTTCATGGCTCAGCCTCTGGAGTCCCTGGGATTACAGATGTGCCCCACCACACCCAGAGGAGTGTCCTTCTTTGTAGGACACACATGCCACACTATTCAGGGAGCCTATGGCACCAAATTGGCAAGGTACTCTCAGAAAAATTCAGAGCAAAAACTTCTCTGTGCCATCTTGGTAACTTTTTTTTTTTTTTTTTTTTTGCAGGTTTGTGGTAGTTTCAAATAAAATTTACACAGGGAAAAAAAAATGTCCCCTATCTGTCCCCCCCACTGTGTCCATTCTGCCCCTCCCTAATCCATTAATAAAGGCCACCTGCCTGCTCCAAGGGCGGGGCCCTGATTGGGTGGAACTAACAACCCCACCCCTTTGCCCCTTGATTGCTTCAGAAATGGTCACTCACTGGGACCCGAAATAATTGGGACATATCTCCCTGGTCAGAGAGATTGGTTAGAGCCTGGACTCTTGAACTCAGTAAAGCCATTAGAATGACGGGAAGGACTTCTGCGACTAGTGAAGCAGGGATACTCCCCCTCCCCCATATATGACAGAGTAAGTCTGGAAGCTGCAGAAGGACATTCTGGCATCATGAGAGAAGACATTTCATTTGGGTGCTGGGGATAGAACCCAAGGATTCCTGCACACTAAGCACCCAGCGTGCCACTGAGCTACATCCACAATCCTAGGAGAGGCTGTTCTGAGGAGGAAGGCAGAGCTAAGAGAATCACTGACAAACCCAGCCATAGTCCTAATGACACCACGTGTCTCTGGATCAAACCTTACCTGAAACCCATTCCTCTGAAATTTTATTTTTAAATACTCATTGAATTACAATGGCTGTAATGAGGAGCATACAGATTATAAACGAAAACCCACACATGAATAGCACCCAAATCATAAATGGACACCATAAGCATCCCAAGAAGGGTGTCTTGTACTCTGTCCAAGTCACTATATCCTTTCAAGGGTAGCCAGCCCCCTGACTTTCAAGGTCACAGATAAGTTCAGTTTGAGTTTTGTATGATGGAATCACAGACTAGGTGCCCTGTGTTTCTTGGTGAACATATATGTACACATGTGTTGCTTCTGCCAGGAGAGGCAGCACAGTATTGGTCTAACCTCCAAAGACAATCTTCCTCTCCCAAATTTCAAAGACTTTCTCCCATCAATGCGTTTTTCTCCTTTGGGTCATCCTGGGAGCAGACTGGACAGGGGACCTGTTCACACTTTAGGGCAGGGAAGGGCAGTGAGGGATCTGGGAGTGACCAGGAGGGAAGAGGCCCTTCTGGGCAGGCAGGTGGCCCCTCTGTTGGGGACCTTCCATCCAGGATCTGCATCGATGGCCAGTGCGGGTTTGTCAGTGGGCAGGGTCTGAGGAGGAGGGAGGAGTGTGTTAGTGACCTTGCCGACCGTCCCAGGGCGCTCCACTGAGAGTTGGAGGGAAAGGCTTAATTCAGAAGCCACGAATGGGAACCCTGGCCTCAGGAAACTGGGCTCAGATCTGCTTGATTTGTTCAGCTCTACTTCCCAAAAGCTTTAAGTCAGTGACCGACTTTTAAAATGAAATGTAAAAGGACTCCAGATGTTTGGCTTCTATCTGAAATGAGAGAATCTGCTAGACAAGGGGGCCCACACTCCTAGTCCCAGCCACCCGGAGGCTGAGGCCGGAGAATTGTCTGAGCCCAGGAATTTGGGATCAGCCCTGGCAATATACCAAGATCCCTTCACTTAAAAAAAAAAATGGGGGGAAGAGAGGATTGTCATGTAGACCTTCACTGTCACCTGAAGAAAATCTGTTGGGACTGAGAAGCCTCTGCCTCCCTTTCAGATGGAGCTCCTGCTCCGGTTTTCCACAGGCCCCACCAGCCCTTATTGCTCCGCGTCCTTGATTTGTGCATCTGCATTCCCGTCTTAGCTTTGCAGGTACTAGAGTGAGATGCCTGACTGACACCTTCAGTAACCTTTTTATTATTAACTCACCCTTCTGGATGCTGGAGTAACTCTTTATAAAGGAATTTCAACACTGACTGATGGTGGCGATGCCCATGTCACCAGCACATGGAGGCTTCGCTTTTGGGTCAAGCTTCTCTAACAGCCACCTGAAGCCTCCGCCTTTCCTTGGTGGTGCTGAGCGTGGAACCTGGGCTCTGTGCGTGCTAGACCTGGGCTGCACCACTGAGCTGCACCGCAGCCCAGGCTAGCCATTTTGTTAATGTTCCTGCCACCCCCTCTGGGTTCTTATTTCCCCAGTTTGACCCACGATCACCAAAGGTCCAGTTCTCATGATGAGTTCCTCCCCCGGTGAGACCCACAGAGGCCTGGCTCCTGCATGGAGGCCGAGCTAGACAGGGCTGGGCGGATCCATTACTCCCGTTCTCCGGCACAGAGAAAAGGGAGGCTTGCCCTCTCCTCCAGGGGTTTCGGGAACCAGCTCTTCCATAGAGATTTCTTTGAAGCTTTATTCATTTACTTAGGTACAGGGGATTGGACCAGCAGTGCCCACCGACAATCCCCAGCCCTTTTTTGTACTTTATTTAGAGACAGGGTCTCCCTGAGTTGCTAAGTGTCTCACTAAGTTGCTGAGGCTGGCTTTGAACTCTCGACCCTTCTGCTTCAGCCTCTTGAACTGCTGGGATTACCGGGGAGCCCCACTGAAGCCTTATTTTGTCATTAAAAAGTCACCTTTCTGGCCATTGTGACACATGCCTGTAATCCCAGAGTCTGAGGAGGCTGAAGCAGGATGATTGCAGGTTGGAGGCCAGCCTCAGCAAGTTAGCCAGGCCCTAAGCAAAGTAAGGAGACGGTGTCTCTAAATAAAAAACAAAAAAGGACTGTGGCTTAGTAATTAAGTGTCCCCGAGTTCAGTCCCCACCATCTATCTCTCTATCTATCTTCAGGGGTTGGGGTATGTAGTTCAGCGCAGAGAGCTTGCCCAGCGTGTGCTAGGACCTGGGTTCCGGCCCCAGTATTTAAAAAAAAAAAAAGTTCGCCCTCCTCTCCACCCGGACAGTGCTCATATGTACACAGACCAATTCTCCTTCAAAGGATGTAGTGAATTTGGCAATGGAAACGGTCTGCCGTGGACTTTTGAGTCCTTGGCACACCGTGGTGGATCCCTGGGTTTACGCACATTCTGGTTCCAGAAGCAGGCGACAACACGGCTCATTTATTTGATCCACCAACGTTTGCTGAGAGGCTCCTTGTGCCAGGCCTGGGGTGCTGCGCTGGGCTCCCTGGGGCCAGTGGGGCAAGGGGGCGGCTGGGCCTTAGGAGCTCCGCCGGGCAGGCAGGAGGGCACCTCTGCCAGCTTACAGCAGGGAGAAGCCGAGTCCGCGACATGTTAACGGAGCTCAATTTTCCTGGGATGCCTTTTGCTAGAATTTAAAGAGAGAATAGTGTAAAGTGCTGTGGGAGCCCCAGCAACTGGTCCTGTCTCGAAAGTCTTCTTGGAGGAGGTGACATTTGGGAGTTTTTTTTGTTGTTGTTCCTCCTCCCCCCTCCTCCCCCTCCCCCTCCCCTCCTCCTCCTGTGCTGGGGTCTGAACCCAGTGCCTCAAGCACGCTAGCAAGCGCCCTATGTACCCAGCTACATCCCCAGCCCTGGGGCGAAATCTCGGTGGATGGATGGACATGACCCTAACAAAATACCACTTTTTCTTTCTTGTTCTAATGAGTTACCGGCGCAGGGGAATGCACCTTGACACATCATACATGAATCACGCGTGACTTCTCATTCTTCGGGTTTTACGTGATGCAGAGTCACACCAGTGACCCTGTATGCACCTAGGGACGTGACGCCTGACTCATCCTACTGCCCCCGCGCGCCCCTCCTTCACTCCCCTCTGCCCCAGCCAAAGTGGCTGTGTTCCCTGGCTTATTTCACTTAGCCTGATATTTTCCAGATCCATCCACAAAAATACCATTTTTTTTAAAGAGAGAGAGAGAGAGAGAGAGAGAGAATGTTTAAATATTTATTTAGTTAGTTAGTTTTCAGTGTACACAATATCTTTATTTTTATGTGGTGCTGAGGATCGAACCCAGCGCCCTGTGCATGCCAGGCAAGTGTGCTACCACTTGAGCCACATCCCCAGCCCCAAAAATACCATTTTTAAAGTAGTTCACGCTGCTCTCCTTACACAGGCACACTATGTGCCAGACAATATTTTAAGCTAGGTGTACTAAGTCATTTACTTTTTACAATTCATTAAATATTGACTCAATGATTCAATCATTTATTTCGTCAGTGAATACTCATTGAGCAGTTTCTGTATGTTTTAGCCAGAAAACTGAGGATCAGAGAAGTCAGATCATTTTATCAAGGCCACTCAGCTAGTGAGATTGTGAATACTTAAATTTAATATAAAATTTCTGCTTATATATTTTAGCCTTTTTCAAACTGGGGATCCTCCTACCTCAGCCTCCTGGAATCTCAGGTACGTACCACCACACCCGGCAGGGAGACCCTGTCCCAAAATAAAAAATAAAAAGGGTTAGGGCTCCTTTGATCTGTGGTAGGGCACTTATCTAGCATGTATGAGACTCTGGGCCCCATCCACGGCAACCCGCATGCGTACACACACACACACACACACACTCTCACAAAGTTGTTATCCTGTATGGTTTAGAAATAATAAGAAAAAGATCTAGACATGTTCACTGCAGATGAAATATTCTTTCACATACTTTCTGTTTGCAGTTGGTGGAGTCCATGGCTGTAAAACCCAAGGACAAGGAGTCCAGCTATATGAGTAGGGATCACGAGTGAGTGGTCTCGGGAAGAAGCAGAGCAGGAAAGCTGGGGGCAGGGGGCAGGGAGAGGTTTTGAATTTTTTACAGCGCACCAAGTAAAGGTTCCTTGATGCAACTTCCCAGGGAGCAATTCAGCCAGAGTGGCTGCAGGGGCCAAGGTCAGAGCCTGACCCCAGGCAGCAGAGCAAACACCGACTATGTAAAGGAACAGTATTCCAAGCAAAGGAATAGCCAGTGCAAAGGCCCTGTGGCCAAAGACTGCCCGGGGTGTCTGAGGAACAGCCAAGAGACCCTGAGAGAACAGGAGACAGCTGAGAAGGGAAGTGATGGCTAGATCTCTCTTTAAAAAAAAATATTTATTTTTTTAGCTGTAGTTGACATAATACCTTTATTTTATTTATTTATTTTTATGTGGTGCTGAGGATGGAACCCAGGGCCTCCCACGTGCTAGGCCAGCGCTCTGCCTGTGAGCCCCAGGCCCAGCCCAACGGCCAGATCTTGCAGGGCCTTGTGTCCTGTGGTGGGGAATTTGGACTTTTCTCTGGGGAGCTGGACACCCAGGGAGGGGAGGTTGGTGAGGTTTCTGAGGGACAGGGTAGGACAGGAGTTTGCCAGTCAGGCAAGAGACTGGAGTTGGAAGGGGTCAATTTCTGGGAGAGCCATTAATTCCCTCACACAGCAAATAGATGATAGATTACATAGATATTGATGTAGCTATAGAAATATATATCTATTTATTTTAGCTACAGCTGTATTCTGAGCCCTGTGAACCCTGGGGACACATCAGTGAGCCTGACAGAGGTAAATACCAGTAAAGTGGAATGCTGGGAACTCCAGGAGTGACCGCAGGGGACCTGAGCCAGGCTGGGAGGCTGTCCGGTTGAGGCTGTGTCTGCAGGTCCTAGAACAGACCCTGGGCTGGAGGTGTGGCTCAGGGATGGAGCTCCTGCTTGGCGTTTCAATCCCCAGCTCTGCAAACAAAGCAAAACCCAAACAAGGTCCTGTGTATAGTAGTTGCTTGATAAACACCTTTTGGCCACAAATACACCCAAATTCGCTCCCTTGCCATTTCTACAATCCTTGCTTCATGCAGGACCCGGAAGCTTATAGTATTAATTTGTTTAATCCTCACATAAAGAATTTGAGGGAGATCCTGTTATTATCACCATTTTGCAGACAAGGCACAGCAGGAGTCACACACAGGCTAGAGGTCACACAGCTCAGAGGTGGCAGAGTTGGACCTTGAACCCAAGCAAGGCACAGAGTCTCCCTAAACTGTCCTCCTGGAAGATGGTGGGCACCGTGCCTTTACTGGGAGACAGAGGAGGATGCCTGTGACCCTCAGGCCACTGATTTTATTATGTATTTATTTGGGTATTCATTTGTTTATTTTCTGTGCTGGGCAGCTAGGCAAGCCCTCCCCCGAAACTGCACCCCCAGTTTCATATTAGTGGGCTTTTCGTCTTTGCAATCTAACAGGCTGCAGCTTGTTTTATAATTCCAATATGTGTTTCTTTTTCTGTGAACTTTCTGTCCGGGTCTTTCACACTGTGGCTTTAATTTATTCATTTATTTTTAGCTGCAGGGGGGTGAGAGTTTGGCAAATGAAGGAAACTGACCCCTTCTGTGCCCCAGCGTTGCCCGGGGGTTCCTGTCCACGGTGGGATTCTCTGAGGGCTCCTCAGCCTTGCAGGTGATTTGAAGCTTGCTGTGATGAAATGTGCCCATCTTTCCCTCCTGACCTCAGAGGTTGGTGTCACCTGTAGCAAGACTTTAGTTCTAAGATTACAAATGGAGTCTCCGTTTTTCCCTTCTGTGACAGTGACATTTTTGGACCTTCAGATCTCCAATCTACCTAGATTCTATTTTGGTATTTTAATAGGGATCTAACTGTGCAGCTCTGCAGATGGCTGTTCAGCTGTCTCCTGTAAGGAAAAGTCCCTATTTCCCACTGGCATGAAATTCCACTGCTATATACAATCCCTCGTGTACTTCTGGCTCCCTACCTGCCCTCCTTCACCAGCCGCCTGTCTCTTGAGGAGCACCCCAGCTGCTTGGAAAACAGATTCCTATGATCCACTTGCATGTACGGAGGGGCTGATTTCCTCTTCCTTACTTTATTTTGTTTCAGATTCTTTTTCTGGATCTTTTCATATTATTTTTTCTTTTAAACTTCAGAATCAACTTGTCTAGTAGCAAAAGTACTTTTCTCCCCCCAGTACTGGGGATCGAACCCAGGACTTCATGCCTACTAGGCAAGTGCTCTACCACCAAGCTACACTCTTTATTTTTTTATTTTGAGACAGGATCTTGCTAGATTGTGGAGGCTGGCCTTGGACTTGTGATCCTCCTGCCTCAGCCTTCCTAGTGGCTGGGATCACAGGCGTGAACCACTTCACAGCGCTCAAAAATATTCTTTTGGAGCTGGGACAAAATTCCTTGCATGAGGCCCTGCCTCTCAAAGAGCCTACCACCTCAATGCTGCCACACCTCTGAGCTACAGAGAAGAGCCCAGGGGGCAAAGGTGAATGGGGACTGAACACTGAGAACTTAGGACAGAGCACGTGGCCAGTGGAGCTGTGAGGAGGAGGAAGCGCAGGAGCGCGAAGTGACTGTCCCCTGACTCCTGTGTGTGGCTGTCGCCCTGACACCCATCGCTGTAGGTTACACTGATGCTGGAGGGAGAGCCCTGGGGACCTCCGCAGCTGGCAGCTGGTACTGGGCAGGGTCGGGCTCACCTGGTTTGATCTGCATTTTGATGACACTGCTGAGCGTTCTTCTTTGTGCTTATGGCCACTTGCGAATGTCAGAGGAATTTCTATTCAAGTCCTCTGTCCATTTTTGAAATAGATTTATTTTTTATTGCTGAGTTATATATAGTAAATATTTAGCTATTACCAACGAATTGATCAACTGTCGAATAAGGTGTGTGGTTTTCTCCTTTCTTCGAGTGTGTGTCTTCCTAAGGTCCTGGAAGTCAGGTTCAAATCTGAAATCCTCCATCAGGTGGGGTGGCGCATGCCTATGATCCTGAAGTGGCACCCCCTTTCTCCACAGAAAAGCCCGCTTCAGCACGGCTGATTTCAGGACTGTCAGCAAAAGAGTCTCTGCAAAAGAGTTCAATGTAGATAAAGAGAAGATACCAGCCCTCCAGGTGCTGGACACCCCTCACTAGTTTTCACAAACATGTATCCACTATAGTACTTTGAAGAAATGTGCAAACAAGGCCTCTGGCCTTGGGCTGGGCTTCACAGAGATGTCTACATTCCTAAGATAAGTTACAACTGGGCTCCATGGTAATAGCTGGCAGGGGAGGAAGGAGAGGGGAGGAGAAGCTCCCTCCTTCTCAGGTGCTGTCCTTGAAGGGTTAACTTGCCCAGAACAGTGAGAGGAAAAGCTGTTTTATGTGAACTTCTGCAGATGTGAACTTCTGAGCCCCTCCCCTTACACGCTGGGTATAAAACTCTGGAACTCCCTGAACTCGGGGTTCAGGGGATTAAGTGATGACAGCAAAGGCTGTGCCCCCTCAACCTGGCTGCAGCCAAATAAAACTGTTTCCTGCTGTCTTTGGTGCCTTGCCTCGTTTGTCCCTACAACATTTTTGGTGACCCAGATGGGATGGAGGAGGTAAGGAAGGCTATTGTGCCTCTCTTGTCTCCAGGGACCAGCTTCCCTGGGGTGATGGGGGACAGCCTTCCCCTTGGCATGCCCAGGCCACTCTTGGCCTGAAGAGTGATCCACTCACCCAGTGCCCTGGGGCTGCCACCCTGGAGCACAACGGGACCCACAGAATTAGGGTCTGGAGCACCGCCCAGCTGAACAGGTAGGACCGGGGTCCATTTGGTTTGCAGCCACCTGACGTCCCCTTCAGGCCTAAGTGGGTGGAAGAGAGGCCTGATCACCCTCTGTTGGGTCCCGAGTGCCCTCCAAAGTGGTTGGAGCTGAAACAGACCTGGGGAGTCGCCCGAGTGGCCTCTGTTCGGGGTCAGTGAGCAGAGGGGACACCCACCGTGACTCCCTTTTCTGTTTGGTTTGGAATTGTTGGAATCTGGGCGGTATGGAAATCCTGTCCTGGCCATGTCTGTGGGAAAGTGTGGGAATGAGACGGACAAAGGGAAGGGTTCCCACCTCTCACCCAACCCGAGGGCCGAAGCCAGTGCAGAGTCCTGATCCGCGGTTCCGTGGCCCCTCATACAGTCTATGGCGGAATTTCACCAACCAACGTCCAGGTGAAAGCTCCAGGTCGGGGTTGATTCCCACCCGCAAGGCTAAGAGGGCCCTAAGTCCCCGCGAGGGGAGCGGCCGGAGATGGACGAATCGAGTCTTGTCCTAAGTGTGTTTTGTTCTCAGTGTGCGACACCGATGCAGGGTGGACCACGGGAGGCACACTAAGAAAACTGAGCCTCTGAAACGTGTGTTAGAGACCTTTAGGAAGGTTTTCCTGGTAACTGTGGGTGAGACTCACTCCACAAAGGTGGCACACTCTGTGAATTAGAGTGGCTCACCCAAGACGTGGGCTGGCCACCAGAAGGACCTTTAGATGCGAGAGTCATTGCTGAGGTCCTTTGATTGTTATTGAAACCCCTGAACCATTTCTCTTACATGGATTGCTGTGAAGAGATAGTGCAGAAACAGCCCCCTTGGCTGAGAGCCTGTCTAGATGGACAGTCCAAGCTGATGTCAGCCGGGAGCATGGTGGTCTCTAAGACCCAGCGGAAAGCAGCTAAACAGAAAACCTGACTAGGAAAGACAGGAAGGGAACAGAAGAGGACCCGGGACCAACTTTGCCAAGACCACTGGGACAGCAGACTGTCCCCTAGCCCCCTCGTCCTCAGAGGCAACAAATGATGGCCCCAGTACTGGCCATTCCGTCCTCTG